GGATGAAAGGTGTGTGCCACCATCATCGGACTGAATATGCCCCAGTTTATTTAATCTGTAAGGCAATCTCCTCCTCTTGTGTCTCAGCTGAGAAAACTGAACTACTATGAATGTACAGTCCCGCCCCCTCAACACTCACTCCACCAGTAAATGTGTGCACGGGAATTCAACTTGTGTTCTCAAGTTTCTGTCCTCAACTGCCTAACATCTGCACACTGGAACTGAAATGCCGAATGTCATTATCTCCGTGGGGTGGACTACAGTTCTCTTTGTCCCTTTCTGTAGTGTCCACATTTTTATCATGCATTGCTTTTGTAATCAGAGAAAATGCTTAAAAAAAAAACTGCGTCAAAACCCTGCCCCTACAGCCCACGCCATTCTGTGCAGATCACTGTCTTCTAGGGCTTCGAGAAGAAATACCATAACTAGACTAGATTCGAAATATGCTAAGAGTCGATGGCTCAGATGCTCCCCATTGCCCCCCCCCTCAAATGTCACTGGAGGCCGGATGAAGTGAGGAAGGCTGAAAGGACAAGGGCATCAGCCACCAATAACAACCCCCATAGAAGAGGCCAATAGGAAGAAAGACAACATGTCCCATGAAACTCTCCACTGGAATCCATAAGACAAAAGGTAACCATGCACGAGCAACTGGAAATCAAAATTAAAAAAAAAAAAAGCCACACCATAACTGATTTGATTCACAAAATATAAAATAGCATTGTACTTTAAGAAACAACTGGAATGCTAAAATATGACCGAACCAATTTCAACAGTCTCAACATTCTCTCCATTTAGCAAAGTCCTTAATACAAATACTAATTTCTTAAAGAGCTCAAACGAAGATGAAAACACAAACGTAATAACAAAAACAAGACTGCCAACCGAGGCCCTTCATTCTTCCCAGCAAGCCCTGTGATACCAACCTACTGTGTTCTGAGACCTACTGAGCGCTGACAGTGTTCCTTTCTTGTTAATTATAAGCTCAATTCTCCTTTCTCTTTTTGAAATAAGAGGATGGGCTGACAGGGTCTATGGTCTCTCTCCCTAGGTTTGTCAGTAGGCCAAGTGTTGCTGCGGACTGAGCCCTTCCGGTCCTCTTTTGGTAATGAAGAACCCATCCCCGCATTCACTAGTGGCTCTGGTCACCTTCAGGGCCGCCAATAAGAAAGTACCACCTTGCACAAGTCACATTCCCTCTGCTAGCTGCCTGCCTTAACAGATGACAACAGTAGGCTGCAGAAGCTAAGTCTCATCTACTCTCCTTCACTGAAGAACCAGGCAGGTGATGTCAGCATCCCAGGTTCCACAGGGCTTGGAGTGCCACTTCAACCTCTCCCCTTGCGGATTCCCTTTCCCTCCTTCCCTTCCAGACCAGAACATAGCATCCCTTGCTAGCTGTGCACTTTCTAGCATGAATTCAACAGGATGGAAAGAAAAGCACAGATCCGGGGTGTTTTTTACTTGTTGGTGTTGCTGTTACCAAATACTTGAAAAGAAGCAAGGTAAGGGGGAGAAAAGGTTTATTTGGGCTTACAATTTTAAAACAAAGAAAGCCCACAGTGGGGGAAGGAATAGAGGAGTGTGAGGTGGCTGGTCACAGTACGTCTCCAGCGAAGCAGGGAGAGATGAGTGTTTGTGGTCAGCTCATTTTCCACCCCCCTATCCCCAATTTATTCAGCCTGAAACCCCAAGCCCACCTTACCTTGCTGTTTACTTTCAGGGTGGGTCTTCCTCAATTGAAACTCTCTGAAAATACCCTCAGAGACGTGCCCTGAGGTGTGTCTCCTAGGTGATTCTAAATCCAGTCACATTGACAGCGAAGACTGGCAATCACACCTTGGGTGGGCATTTGGACCTCTGCCATGTTGACTCTACTGGGCAAGGTTCTCAAAAGCCCCAGCAGGGAATTCCACAGGAAGAAGGGTTGTGCAGTTGTCCTCACACAGAGCAAGGAAGTGAGTCTAAGAATAAAGAGGGCCCTTCTGGAATCCCAGCAGGGGACTTGTCTGACTTTGGGTAAGGCTCAGGGAACCTGCAAGAGGCAGGGTGGCAGCTGCTTGGCCCAGTTTAGTCTAATCCCCTGAGCTGTCCAGTCCCTGGTACCATGATTGTACGGTGTTAATTAAATCATTCTCATTAATTCAGCCTGAGTGTAAATTAGGAATGAATGAAGACAGATTAGGTTTGAAGGCAGCTAATACATTTAACCCCTTGCTGCTGATTTTGCGGCCCTAACACAATAAGGTTATTAAGGAAGATAACAAGGCCAAAAGCCTTGGGCACAGCTTCCCAACAGCATAAAAAAACAAAACAAAACAAAAACCCGGAGACCTTGGTTTAGTGTTCCAAGGCCAGGGAAAGACATTTTCCCAGGGGCCTGCAGGACCAGCCAGGCATCCTGAACCAAGTACTGGCTGTTGTACAAAGCAGCCTGGCAACATTTCCTGAGGTGTGACGTCTCAGCTATGGGCTGGGTCTGGTGTGGTTTAGAGCAGTCACAATCCTGAGGAGAGTTTTCTTCCGGTCTGCGTAGAGGCTTCACCTTTGTTTCCTGTGAGCGGAGTGATAAGAATGACCTTTCCCATTGGCCAAGAGGCGCCATAAAAATAACATAGTTTGAGTTTCTGTGATCATAAATCCACTAACTTGCAAATCACCCGCAGCCTTGAGAAAGGCATTAGAAGCTGCCCAGCAGCCTGAAGAATTTTCCACACACTGGCTCAAGCAGACCATTGTTAGTCCGTGGGTCCAGTTTCTGTGGGTCCAGTTTCTTCCAGTGGTTTCCAGTTTGGATAACCTCCCTAAACAAATTCCGCCACCCAGCCTTGCTTATCTTTCAGTAGCAGATGAAGGGATGTATATGGTCAGTTCAGGATTTTCCAGGCTGCTATTTTGTTTTCTTGATTTGAAACACTGGAAGTGGCAACATTAGGCAGAAAAGATACAGCAATGGATAGCAGCAGGACTGCCTCTCTGCAAAGAGAAGGGATCCCTACTGTTTCCTTGGTTGTGGACACTGCAGCTTCCAGGTGGTAGATGCAATAGCAATGATTACCTGTCCTTTGCTAGGAGGCTTCTCCTGGCAAGGTCTCCAGCCAACCAGCTGAGGTATGTGCACACACTACTAAGCAACTTCTAGGTGGCTCTGGGAGAAAGCTGGGCATATTTTGTCAAAAGAGAAAACGTGTTAACTTCTTAATAGACCATTGCCTCACTAGAAGACATTAACTGTTGGTCCCCTAAACCAACAGATTTGTGTTTGACTCAAACCCAGATAGATGAAAACCGAAAGAAAGGGGCCAGGAGTTGGTCCTGGTGCCTCTCAAACCGGGCCACACGATACATAAACGTGTTTCTAAAGATCTGCAACAACGACCCGCTTCCACCTCCCTCTTTCAAGGCCTGTCTCTGCTGTGTGCAGTGTTTCCACTTGCTGGGCGCTGTTTTTATTTTCCTCTCCTTGGGCACTAAGTTCTGCTCGCCTGGCTGGCTCACTGCTGCCCTCAGGCCTCTGCACCTGCTTCTTACCTCGAATCCCTCGAGCTTTTCTGACTTTGTAAAGCAAAATGGAGCCAAGACTCAGTACCAAAAAAATAAAATAAGAAACAGATTGGAAGAGGCTGTAGTGAGGTTGGCGTGTTAATGCTAAGAAAGGACTTAAGAGGGCACTGTCTTTCTTTGCGATGAGCAAAATTTATCAGCCCGAATAATAGCCAAGAAGTGGAGCTGGAGTAAAAAACCAACCGTATTGGTTTTTGCAGTCTGTGGTCTCAGGAAGCGCCATGTGGAGCCTCCTTAGCCGATTTAAACCATTGTTACGCCTGGTGTTTTAAGAAAAAACGCGCGGGGGGGGGGGGCAGGGGGAGTATTAAAGCCGATCTCCTGTCTGGGCCACTATTGAGGGGGTGCAGATCTCCAGCCAGGCAATTCACATCTCCCAAGACTTCTTTTTCCTCACCTGTATAATAAAGGTTTGGACCAATAGTCTATACTGCTCGTCCCTAGACTCTATTAAATACGGAATAAAAGCCAACGCAAAGAGGCGTTTTAGCTCCCATCCAAAATACAAACCCTTGGCACAGAAGCCAAGAGTGAGGGTCAGAAACAGTGGTCGCCACGTGAATTTCTTCTTTTTGGGTAGCTTTCCTTTCTTTGCCAGGCTCTCGAGGCTGTGTGTGTGTGTTGGGGTTATTTCTTGACTCAACTCCAAACACCACCAACCTACAAAAAAAAAAAAAAAAAAAAAACAGGAAAGGCTAAGTCTCTAAGGTGACTTCTCCCCAAAGGAAGGCGGCGGCATGGCTGCTTCTTTGAATCTAGCGGCCCCGGCGATTGGTTGCGAAACACGTGGGCCCGCAGAATTGAGCCTGGGTTGCAGCGGCTCCAGCACCGCGAGGGGGCAGAGTCCAGCTTGGGGTGGGGAGGTACGACACCCGGCAAGTGCCTGGAGCTGGAGTCTGGCCCCCAGCCAGCAAGTAACCCCACGTCCCACTTGCACGACCTGCAGTGTCCCCAGGGTCCAGATTTGGGCTTCTACCCTGCCCCCGTGGGTAGTAGGTTCTGCCCTGCAGCTGGGATGTCCAGCCCAGTGAGTGGCTATACGCGCCTATGCTGCGGAACCCCAGCTTGGCCCTGGGCCACTAAACTGAGCATCCCATGAACCCCAGCACCACTGAACCCACAGTCCAGGGCTGCTTTCCCCTGCGGGGGCGCTCCCCAAATCCCGAGCTAGCCTTGAATTAGGTTGACCCAAAGAGGCAAAAACCATCGGAGCCCCTCAAACTTATTTTCTTCGCAGTCCCCGGGGGCTGCAGCTGCCCGGAGCTGCGCCAAGGCGTCCGCTTTGTCTCCGAGCACTCCCCGCCTCCTCCCTCCCGCTTCCTCTCCGGTTAACTCCCCCTACAGCTCTTTCCCCTGCACCAGCCGCTCCGGCCTGCTCCGTGGACTCGCCTCCTCCCTCCTCCCCCGGACGAATCTCTTTGCGTACGCGCCCCCTCCCGGGCGGGCGCGCAACTTATAGCCCGGTGCGCTGTGGCCCGGCGCAGTCTGCTGCGGCAGCCTCCGCTCTAACAGCGCTACGGAGGCGCTGCAGAGACCCAGAGCAGACGCCAGGCGGCCGTCCGCACTCACGTCGCAGCTTCGCTCCCTCCCTCCCCCAGCGCGCTGCCCGCCTTCCTCCGCCGCGCGGCCGCCGCAGGCTCACTCTCCCCTGGCTAGGCGAGCGCCGGCAGACGCTTGGCCCGGCCGGGGCGCCAGGTCCGCTGCTGCAGATCCGGAGGCCGAGGCGAGCTGCCTGCCAGAACCAACCCGGGAGCCACTACCCCCCGGCGCTATCGCCTCTCCACTGGCACTCCTTTCTCCCTGGTGATCGCCACCTTTTCCTGGGACCGAGACGCCCTTCATTGACTCCCTGCGGGTAACCGAGGCAAGAACCCTAGCCGGTTGTGTGAGGAGGCCAGTCGCCTACTGCTGTAAGTTTCCCCTTGCAGCCCCAGACCTGTTGCGGGCTCCCGGATTTCAGGGGCGGGCCGGCCGCGGGGTGTGCTTGCGAGCAACGAGCCGGCGCCGGCCACCCTGCCTGCGGCTTAAGCCCAGGAACTGCTCTCGGGGCAGAACTGTCGCCAGAGCAGAATCGCGCTGGGGGAGCGACGTGCCTCCCCTCCGCGGTGTAACGCCCGGGCAAGTCTCAGGGACTGCGAGGAGCCAAGTTGGGGGATAATATCATGCCGGCTCCCTGCAGCCACCAGACAGCCCAGCGCGAGATCGGTTCCCTGTGGTGCACTGTTGTAGGCTCCGGGGACGGTGTGGCCCACGTGCAGACCTCCTCATGGGGGCATTTGGTTGCAGCCAAATGAATGAAAACTGGTTCCTGAAAAACTAGTTTCCTCTCCTGCAAGCTTTTGCCTTTTAGAATGACATTATTAATTTCAAAGGCTAAGAATTGGTGGGCGGGGTGGAGATGAAACGGTGAACTTGGACGTGTAATTTGGTGTCGTCCTCAGTGACTTGCCCGGCGTGTTAAATAGCGTTGCAAATGTTGTAGGGGGCTGTGTGGCGAAGGGCTATTTTTGTAAATGTCTTTATAGTGTCGTTCCATTGTTGTCAATAATATGAGTCCTTGAGAACATCTGCCTGGGCTCTTTTCTCGTGGGATTGAGATCAGGCTTAAAGCCCGGAGAGAGACGGAGGTGCTCAAAGTGTTGGAGGCAGACAGCCAGCCTGCATGTAAGCCACAGTAAGTGAACCGAAGTTACTGAACTAGGAGCCCTTTTGATGTTCACAGTAATAGCAGTCTTTCTCTGCTTTCTTTGTAGACGCGAGTTAAGTATATGTGTGCGTTTTCTTGGCCATTTCCTTAGCGTGCAAGTTTATGTCTCTGGGGGCTTAAAAAATGTTGGGAAGAATGAATGATTAATTTTATGTTGAAGGTGTGTTTAGTAACTGTATAAATGACTTAAATGGATATTTTACTGTTTGCATAATTCTAAACCAGAAAGCAAGTTCCTTCCCTCACGCCTCCAAGTCTACCTTTTGTTTTAATCCTATATGGTTACAAGATGTGAGATTGTGACAGTGATGTGTTTTCCAGTGGGATGGGATCCAGGATGACAGTGTGCACAAGTCCTCCTTGCTTTCTGAGAAGACCTTGAAAACACAGCCGGTAAACAGGGGATGCAGGGTCTTGCAGAGTCTTGCGCATCTTGTATCCCAAGGTCTTGTGGACAAACTGTTTTCTTATGTATACACCTGGTTGTGGATGTTGTTTTATGCCACCCTGAATCTCCTGATAATGGACATGTGCTGCGGCCCAGTGGGATTCCAGCTCAGCCGGCGAGCACTTAGTTGCTTATATTCCTTTCTTGGCTCTTAGCCAGAGAGGAGGCGGCTTCCTGAGACTAGGCAATCTTTTAGAGGTTTGGGCTTAAAATCTTCCTCAAAATAACTCAAGGCAGAAGGCTTTCATTTAAATAGCATCCATACTGGTAAAGCATGCGGGTTTCAAGTGCGTGGATTCTTAGAGGATTCCTCCCTTGGTCATTCTTTAGAACTTTTTTACAGTGACTCAAGATGGACAGGAAGATAGAGCCTTAGCTTGAGGTAGGGGGCAATTAGTCTTTCTTTACCACCTTCCCATCCACTGGAAATTTCTGGGTGCTATGCCTAGACTTTGTAACACTGGAGCTTTGTAACTCTGAAGCTAAGTTGGTTCTCCTTGGCGTTGTTTACCTATCCTGAGAAGTAACATTCTCAAACCAGAGGAAAACAAGTTACATCACCTCAAGATACGGGCCCCAAGGGTCAAAGGCCTGTCAAACACCTACCTTTGTTATTTTTTGTGCCAGCGTTCCCAGCTGGTGGTGGTGGTGGGGGAATTGCAGTTCTAGCTCATGAATCTGGTAAGTCATTTACATTTATTCATAATTCCTGGAGTATAAATTAAAAAAATAAATATCTGGTTGACCGGAGGGAAAACAATCGGTTTCAGCTGTGCTGTAAGTTCTGGCTGTTTGCATCAGAAAAGATACTGTAGCCAAGTGCAGATACCATCCCCTCCTGGCATAAACAACCTCCCCTGGAATCCCCAGGGGGCAGGTACTTAAGGCTTTATACTCTCTTTAAAGCGGTTGAGTGGTACTGTCAGAAACAGGAGTTAATTCCAGTTTTCCAGATGGACGGTGGACATTTTCTAAATTATTGCTAACTAGTTTTCTTTTACAGCAGATACCTAAAAAGATAGCATTCGATTCCACTGATGCTAATTTTGATACCTAGGGAAGCGCTGTGGTTGGCCTTACACGAACAATGGTTAAAATAACACACATGGGCGCAATGAATGTCACACACGCACAGTCCACCCCTGTGTACTTTTGAATTTACATAAAGTGGTGTTTGCAGTTTGAGCTCCCAGTATGCAGGTGCAGCATTTGCAGGTACCTAACTGCCCTGGTGATGGAGTGTTTAGTCAAAGGGGGTGGATGCATCCTTTGTTCTTGTGAGGGCTTTCGGCTTTCTAAGGATTGGTATGGAGCAGGAAGAACAGAAAAACAGCATGAGCTGCCAACTCAGAATATTCTTCCTTTCATGTGCCAAAGTGTCATTCTGGAATCTGTCCAGGTTCAGAAAGGTGGGTGGTAATTGTGGCCAGAATCTCTCCTGTGCTTTCACTGAGGTCTACTGATCAATGTATGGAAATATTTACATTCTGGTGCACTTAGAGCTGTCTATTTAACCTTTGCATAAAGGTCTGACCGCTTCAGGAGTTGGGTATATATATACATATATATATACGTATATACACACACATATATATACATATACACACACACACACACACACACACACATATATATATATATATATATATATATATATATATACAGTTTAGATCTTACCAAAGGAATTCTTAATAGAATTTCTAATTAGTAGGTGTTTGTTTTACACATGACTTTATGCTACATAGGGCATTAAAGCCAGTGCCCAGATGTTCTTGGCATTATGAGAACGGGAAGCTTGGCATTTTAAGCAGCCTGTAGTGAATCAGCTGGCCTGGCACTGGGAACCGAGAGAATGAGAGAATGAGACGGGCTTCCCTCGGCTTCTGCTGACTTCCATTCTGGCAGTCAGGTTTTCCAAGATAAACCTGCTTTTAAGCCATGCTTCCTACCCCACCAACAACCTGGTACGGTTCACGTAGCTCAACAGCACCACAAGGAATGGTTTTCCTCCCAGGCAGTTCTCTTCGGCTTTGTTCTAGAGTGGTCATCCCCTCCTCCGAGCAGTAGGTAGCAGGACTAACAAGGCTCTTGTTTTCTTTGTCTAAGTGATTGTTGCTTTTGTGCTACTGCTGGGAACATCAAGAGCTTCCCGTTCAATGGTTTCGTTTTGTTTTCTTTCAGGAGTTGAAACAAAATGTCAGTCAGCGTGCATGAGAACCGCAAGTCCAGGGCCAGCAGCGGCTCTATCAATATCTACCTGTTTCATAAGTCTTCCTATGCAGACAGTGTCCTCACTCACTTGAACCTTCTGCGACAGCAGCGGCTCTTCACGGACGTCCTTCTCCATGCAGGAAACAGGACCTTCCCTTGCCACCGGGCAGTGCTGGCTGCGTGCAGCCGCTACTTTGAAGCCATGTTCAGTGGTGGCCTGAAAGAGAGCCAGGACAGCGAAGTCAACTTCGACAATTCCATTCACCCAGAAGTCTTAGAGCTGCTTCTCGACTATGCATACTCCTCCCGGGTCATCATCAATGAAGAAAATGCCGAGTCGCTCCTGGAAGCCGGCGACATGCTGGAGTTCCAGGATATTCGAGATGCATGTGCAGAATTTCTGGAAAAGAACCTGCATCCCACCAACTGCCTGGGTATGCTGCTGCTGTCCGACGCCCACCAGTGCACCAAGCTGTATGAACTCTCCTGGAGAATGTGTCTCAGCAATTTCCAGACCATCCGGAAGAACGAAGATTTCCTCCAGCTGCCCCAGGACATGGTTGTGCAGCTCCTGTCCAGTGAGGAGCTGGAGACGGAAGACGAAAGGCTTGTGTATGAGTCTGCCATGAACTGGATTAGCTATGACCTGAAGAAGCGCTACTGCTACCTCCCTGAACTGTTGCAGACCGTGAGGCTGGCCCTCCTTCCTGCCATCTATCTCATGGAGAACGTAGCCATGGAGGAACTCATCACCAAGCAGAGGAAGAGTAAGGAGATTGTGGAAGAGGCCATCCGGTGCAAGCTGAAAATCTTGCAGAACGACGGCGTGGTGACCAGCCTCTGCGCCCGCCCTCGGAAAACCGGCCACGCCCTCTTCCTCCTAGGAGGACAGACTTTCATGTGTGACAAACTGTACTTGGTAGACCAGAAGGCTAAAGAAATCATTCCCAAGGCCGACATCCCCAGCCCGAGGAAAGAGTTCAGTGCGTGCGCAATTGGCTGCAAAGTGTACATTACCGGGGGACGGGGATCCGAAAATGGAGTCTCAAAAGATGTCTGGGTTTATGATACCCTGCACGAGGAGTGGTCCAAGGCTGCCCCCATGCTGGTGGCCAGGTTCGGTCATGGGTCTGCTGAACTGAAGCACTGCCTGTATGTGGTTGGTGGGCACACGGCTGCCACTGGCTGCCTCCCAGCCTCCCCCTCAGTCTCTCTAAAGCAAGTAGAACATTACGACCCCACGACCAACAAATGGACCATGGTTGCCCCGCTCCGAGAAGGCGTCAGCAATGCTGCTGTCGTGAGCGCCAAACTCAAGCTGTTTGCTTTTGGAGGTACCAGCGTAAGTCATGACAAGCTCCCCAAAGTTCAGTGTTACGATCAGTGTGAGAACAGGTGGACGGTACCGGCCACCTGTCCCCAGCCCTGGCGTTACACAGCGGCAGCTGTGCTGGGGAACCAGATCTTTATTATGGGCGGCGATACAGAGTTCTCTGCCTGCTCTGCTTACAAATTCAATAGTGAGACTTACCAGTGGACTAAGGTGGGCGATGTGACAGCCAAGCGCATGAGCTGCCACGCCGTGGCCTCCGGGAACAAGCTGTATGTGGTGGGAGGCTACTTCGGCATCCAGCGCTGCAAGACTTTGGACTGTTACGATCCGACTTTAGATGTGTGGAATAGCATAACCACTGTCCCGTACTCCCTGATCCCCACCGCGTTCGTCAGCACCTGGAAACATCTGCCTTCTTAACGCACAGCTTCCTAGAGGAAGCATGCATGAGGTAAGAAAGCGCAGACAGAAGCGTGCGTTTCAGCAGGGTAGCCTGAATTCAGAGCATGGGGAATGAGAGGTGCGGCTCTTTTCCTATGCTAAGGTGCATAGGAACCGAAAGCAAAAGGTTTTGCGCTCCTACAGTATACCTGCCCGTATTGGCCATCATTGCAACCCCCTGCCGACAGAAACCAGCAGCTCCCAGCCATTACGGAGCCTTAGAATCTCCCAAAGAGATTTTCAGAAGCTACCCCCATTCTAGAGACATTGTTTGGTTTGGTCCAGGTGGAATCCAAGCCTCGGTGCTTTAAATGATTTACTTATTTTTATTTTAAATGTGTTGGTGTTTTGCCTGCCTGCATATCTGTGTGAGGGTGTCCCCTGGAGCTGGAACTACAGACAGTTGTGAGCTGTCGTGTGAGTGCTGGGAATCGAACCCAGGTCGCCTGGAAGAGCAACCAGTGCTCTTAATGGCTGATCCATCTCTCCAGCCCGCATCATTGCTTTAAAGTTTTCCAGTAGAATCTGACCAGATTGGGAATCCCAGACGTCCATTAGTAATTCCAGTCAGTGGCTGCGCAATAACGCACTGTGTTCCTAGAACAGGACCCTGTGTCTCACTCGGGCATCTTTGTGATGCTCAGAACAAGCACTGGATGCTATTACTAACCTCCCTAGGCAGGTGAACAAACCTGATGACTATGGAGTCTTAACTAATAAACTGCCCAGTGTCATAGACCTCAGCAGGTAGTCAGGCTAGTCAAGAAATCCCCTGGGGTAGTCTGACTCCAGAGAACAAACCCTTGAGTATATAATCAAGATGCTACCCGATAAACTTCAGACCTTTCTGTACTTAATAGACTTTTAAAAATACTGCTTCAAGTGTTTACTATTTTATCGACTCCAAAATTGTGTATTCACTTATTTAAAACGCCCCCTCCCCAGGACACCTATCTCTTGAGAGCACTGTTAACTTGGCAGGATGGTCTGGGTTGTTTTCACGAAAGGTGGAGTTTTCTGTAGATAGTCAGCCCCCTAAGCCTCCCCACCTGCATGCTCTCAGACTCATTCAGTCCACCTGGCCCTATTGCGGGGCCCAACAAAAGCTGCATCCTGTGGCATCTATGTGAGCGTGCAGTGGTTGTCTTGTGTACATAGAGCCTGTTACACTCGGCTCCAATAATGAGTCAGCCTACACAGTTCAGTGTCACTGTGGCTTCTTGGCTCCTGTGATGCATCCTCAGGACCAACCCAGGAATTGCCTCAGCTTGTGTGTGTGCCTTAGTTGGTTCTATTGCTGTTAGAAACACCATGACCAAAAGCAAACTGGGGAGGAGCGAGAGGGCTTCTTTCATCTTTACATATTATAGGTCACAGCCCATCACCGAGGGAAGTCAAGGCTAGACCGCCAAGGCAGTAAACCCAAAGGCAGGGCTTGAAGCAGAGGCCAGGGAGGAGTTTTTACTGGCTTGCTCCCTTAGCTTGCTTAGCCTGCTTTCACCCCCAGGACCACTTAAGAGGAAGTACCACCTTCAGTGACCCTCCCACTTCGTTCATTAATCCAAGCAAGCCTGTGGGTGGCATTAATGGAGGTCTCCACCTCTCAAATGACTTTAGCTTTTGTCACGTTGACAAAACAAAATAACAACAACAAAAACAAACCTAACCAAAACTGGCTTAACAGAGGGCACTCGGGACATGCCACTTTGTTTGGGTGATTCCTGGGCTCACTACTGAATGTAAGGGGAAAAAAATAATGCCACCGTGGAGGAACTGCATACAAAGTCATTACCAGAGAACTTTTGGCCCTGCTATTCTTAGGGTGTCACACACCTTTAAAGGGGCTTTTGAAAGGAAAAGCAGGACCTCAGAGTGGTTGTAAGATCAACGGAGGGGGTTTCGTCTTATTTCCCTTCCTTTCTTCACCTTTCGGTTTTTGAGTCAGGGCATGTCTGTCTGTCCTGGAACTCGCTCTGTAGATCAGGCTGGCCTCAAACTCAACAGAGATCCACTTGCCTCTGCCTCTTGAGTGCTGGGATTAAAGGCCACCACGGCCTGGCTTCTTTCCCCACCTTTAATAGCTCACTGATAAGCACTGAAATTGGTCTCTTTGACATCTCATCATCGTTGTCAACCCTTGGCTGTCTCCTCCAGCCTGTCCCAGCCAGCAAGGCCGTGTTCCCTGGGCTTGAGATTCCTGCAGAGGAGCAGAATCCTCCTGTGAGGAGCCGTCTATCCCCACAGCAGCCCACACTAAACTGGTTTTTGCAGCCTTGCTGGCATCTCAGTAAATCCAGAATAAACAAACGTTCTGCAAGTGGTTATTTCGTTTGCGATACGGTTGCATGACTCAACTTTCAAGCAGGTCTGAAGAACCTCCTAGGCAAAAAGCGCTAATTAACAGACTCAGAATTAGGAGTTAGTTCAGAACTGACTGTATGTGCAGTAGACCTGGAACAATTGCCAGGGATGTTGGCAGCATGTGAGAAATGGGAGAACGGGAAGCAAGGGATTGCAGGCGAGGCAAGCGGAGGGGGCACAGTGTCCTTACGTTGTTAGATCCGTCTGGCCTTATGCCTACTTTTTTGTTACGTGAGTGATTTTAACCACGGTATCGAGAAAACACAATCCACAATCCAGAAAGGTGGGTGTTGAAAACAGCCTGGTCTAGCCCCAACACCAGTCAATATTACAGGCTTTTCCTGTAGTTAAGACCTTGCTCTGATCTGGCCGGAGGACATTCCGTTCCTTTGATTATCAGCTGTTTGTCATTTCTGTTCAGTTCGGGTTCCCTTTTTCAGCCCAGAGTGAATGCGTTAAAGTATTTGAACTAATCGCTCGCTTCCGGTCCCTGGGAAACAGAGCAAACAGTGCTCTGTGTGTTAACACGTGAAACAGCAGCCTCCACCCTTGGTACCCTGGGCAGGAGAGCCAAGCACATAAAACCTAAACTTGACAGACAGCTCACTGCTCTTAAAGGGTGACGTGAACCCCTAATCAAAGCTGCGCTTTCAGTTTCCAATGGGGAGAATGATGGCTTAAATTTCTGAAGTTTACTGTACACAAGATAGAGTTACAAACGCTTACAGGTGGGGGGAATGAGAGTCAGACCCGCTCCGTTGGGTGTCAGTACAGGCCTCCAGCCTGAGTCCTTATTTCCAAAGCTGGTGCGAGATGAGAAACCTTCCAGTCAGAAAACCTATCCACCAAGGAGATTTTAACTGTCCCCTGCTGCCCAGACAAAAAAATTTTTTATTTTCTTGTAATTTTTTGCGGTGTCTTATGGTCACTGCCTGACAGGATGTGGAATTCTGTTCTCTTTGTTTCTGCTTTGCGAATTTTTCCCCTCTTAATTTCTGTGCAAGTGTGCCGTGTCTTGAGATGTTCCGTATTCTTTTGGTACATTCTTTTGACCTAATGTGGATATACAGGTTGCAGGGAGGCGGGGCTCAGTGATGACACCGAGGGCTAAGGAATGTCTTGAAGGCTTGAATCACTGTTAGACCACAGCCAAAAGAAACAACTAGGAACTGACTCACATCTCTGAAGACACACAAGCCAGAGAGAAGAATTTGCCATTAATGAGTGGTCCTGCCAAAACTCCCTTTGTCTGTGCTTGTAGCTGGAGCCCCAGTGAGTGGCGAGGATGCATTTTTAACTGTGGCCGCCTTCGAGCTCTGCAAAGTCTAACTTGGATTCTTTATGATCAGTGGGCTTAGGGGCTCATCTTCCTCCCTCGATGGCCCGGAGACTCTATCACAGTAGGCTCCCTTTCCAAGCATTGAAAGCAGAAGATATGTAGGCTTGACTTTGAACATTCTCACGTTTAAGAAAGACACCATTGTTTTTTTAATGCTTTTTAAATTATTAATTTATTTTTAGTCTTGTGTACATTGGTGTTTCGCCTGCGTGTGCCTGTGAGTGAGGGTGTCAGACCCCCTAGAACTAGAGCTGCCATGTGGGTGCTGGGAATTGAACCCAGGTCCTCTGGAAGAACAGCCAGCATTCCAGCCATCTCTCCAGCCTTGGACACCATTGTTGTGTGGGCTGTCCATCGTCGTGGTTACCAACCTGTCAAGCGTGCACATTTTCTGTTGGACTTGTAATTCCCACCTTCAGGCGTGCTATTGCTCAGCTTAGCCCTGAATCTGAATCGTGTGCCAATGAACAAATGTCTTAAACCATGACGTATCACAAATCGTTCATACCTTTGTGTTTTGTTTTTTGTTGTAGCTCACTCTGGACGCATGGTGAGATGATATGAGGTTTCTGCTTTGGAGAAGCCCGAGTTTTAATGAAGAGAAAGAAAAATAGGAGAAGTTGCTACAAGACTCCTCGAATACCATCGGCTGCACCTTGTGAACGCTCTTTTAAGTGGACATGAAGGAAGGGGTGGGGGGGTGGGATTTTTTTTTTTTCAATGCAAGTAGCACATGGTTTAAATATGAATGACAGAACTTGTGATCTAGTCCTTGTCTGGTAATTGTGGATTAATGTCAGCGTTAATCAGCCCCTCAAAGGGAGAGAAAAGCTGGGCTTTTCCCTTGCTGTAGCTCATTCAGCATTTGATTTCCATGGCCCCACCATTTATGTGCAAGATTTGAAATGGTTGTCAGCTTCCTCTGAGGACCAGGCTTGAAGCCTCCGTGCCAGCTGCTGCTGGAGACGCAAAGCCAAGCATGGGTCAGGAGGGAAGCTGGCCTGGCTGACTGAAGAATGGGAACCCCAGGACTTTCCACTCATCTCAAAAGGGGTTACGGTCCCCTCAGGAACGCCTTTGAACAATGGGGACATTGTTGGTAGCCGTTTGGTAGATGCTCCTCGCTATTTATAGATGACTTTAACCCTTCTCTTGGCTGTTAAGAAATGTGTTGTAGATTTAGCTATTTATTGTTTGCGGCCTGCATGCTGGAACAGAGCTTCCGTTGTCTTCACGTGGATGGGCGTGTGTGGATGGTCGTATGTTTTGCACATTTTGTGGTTTTTGATGTGCTTTGCTGCACAAAGAGAAAAAAGAAAAAAGAAAAAAAACTTTGGGGCTATAATTTGGAGGATAAGTAGAGGGTGGGCGGGGGAGGGGTGCATTTTTGAAATGTCGGACAGAGACAGATTCCGAGATGGAAACTCAAATTACATCCCAGAGACAGAGAAACCACAAAGTCACCGTAACTAGACCACCCTTTACTGAGGTTTCACGGTCACACTGGTGGCAGGTCTCACAAGAGCAGGATATTGGTCTGTCCTCCTTCCTCCTGTCTGATTTACCCAACTTTGGTCTTGGCTGCTGACACTTGGAAAGGACCAAATTACTTTATAGTATTCCCCCATTTGTGAGCTACCCTGAAACCCTGGGGAGAGTCTGCAGACCAGTTCTATATAGAGGGCACAGGTGAAGACATTGCCCAAAGTTTGTTTATTTATTTATCTATTTATTTACTCTAGGTGAATAACACCACCAGTGGGGGACAAACTAAAGTGTATCGGATGTAAATAAACTCACCATGTTGCTTCGCCTATGCTGGCCTCTTGGACATTGATTTACAAAGTACTCTTATTTTCCCAGAAAAATGTCCAGTTTGATACAATGTACGCTTTGGTGTTCATCCTTGGATACTTAGGTACATAGAAGTGACGTTTGGTCACACAGTACCAAGGAGTGTAAAGGGTGGTCTGTGGAGAGGTCTTCCGCTTCTTTTGGGATCACTTGTGAATACATCCTGTGCTCCTCCAAATGCTTGTTTACTAAATGTGCAGTGGTAGGTATTAGTGCTAGACTGCCCTGGGCCCTTCTCCAGGTGTCTGGGGAAGAGTAGAACTTGCAACTAACTCTGCCTGTTTTGATCCCTATTCCTCACAGTGCTGTATTTAAAAAAAAAAAAAAATTAGGATTTAAGACAGATAACTGCCTTTACATTGTGAGTGTTTGCCTTGTCTAATGACAGATAATTCCATAACATTTCTCCCCACCTTAGTACTTTAGGCTAATTGTACACGTCTGTCTGTGCCATGAGTAAGTGGACTGCATAGGACCAAAATAAAACAAATGAGCCGTTGGAATGAGAGCTTCGCAGACCATTCCGGCATCAGTTCCTGGTCCCCGGATGTGTTCTAAGCAGTGTAAGTGTCTGATTGAACCCTGGTGGCATGGTCAGTGTCCGTCCTGTAGCTGTCCCAGCTCCCTAGTTTATGATGCAAATCTGTCTCAAGATCTGCGCATCGCTGCTGCTTCTGAGAGTCGGGAGGATTTTCTGCAGCTGTTTCAAAGTTGTGGCCCGTCCTTGAGTCTTCTATTAATTACTGTGTGAGCCAGAGGGAGCTACACCGCAAGGGTGGGCCCCCACTGGCAGGGGAAACTCTTCCAGACTGCCGCTCTTTTAATTGATGTAGGCGTTTGGGCTTGCTACTTGACCATTCTCACCCTGTGAAACGTCCCCCACTTTGAAGCAAATACAATTCACAGCGCAGTACACACAAAAACCCTGGCGCAAGACAGGGGAGGTTCTTCTTAGTTTGTGAGCTGGTTGCTGTAGAAACGGATAACAAAGGGCGGCCTTCCACTTCTGGTATAATGGTGGAGCCCCTTTTCTCAGCCTTGACACCTGTCTGAATAAGAGTGATTAGAGCCGCATAATATCCCTCTTTTGGCTATTGAAAATGTGGTTCACGTACCAAACTGTAGAAGTTAGGAAAATGTCCGTGTTTGTGTGTTCTTGTTTGCTACTACTACATTTTTTTTTGAGGTTTTGTAAAACTGTTATTTTTTTTCACGATGTGAAACTGAAGGTCAATAAATTATTAGAGATTTTCTCTTCATTATGTGTGTGAGTTTTTATTTGACAGCAGTATAATTTTAAACACTGGAGATGTGCTTTCTCATTTAATCAAAACGAAGGGTGTTTCCAGGGTTTTCTGAATGTTTCGTTCACCATTCAGCACCTGAGTTTATGAGAGTAGTTTTGCACATGAGAATCCCCTCTGTCTTTCTGTCTGTCTGTCTCTCTCTGTTTCTCTCAGCCTAACCCTAGCTGGCTTGTAAACTCTCCAATATGTAGACAATGAATCCCACGCCTCCTGTCTGCCTCTGGGTGCTAGGATTATACATACAATCTCTTTCATCATAAGTGGACTGTGCAGCCTTCACATTAGAATCTAGACTTTGTTTCTTGGTGGGTTCTTGATGTGGGAGGGTCTTCTATTTTGTGTTGATTTCATTGGTTAATAAAGAAACTGCCTTGGCCCTTTGATAGGACAGAAAATTAGGTAGGCGGAGTAAACAGAACAGAATGCTGGGAGGAAGTGAGGCAATCGCTATGTCTCTCCTCTCTGGTCAGATGCCATGGAGCCAATTGCCAGGTCAGACATGCTGAATCTTTCCCGGTGTGGTGCTATACACATTAATAGAAATGGGTTAATCAAAATATGAGAATCCTTACTAGACCTGGATGGAGGTGGGTGGTCCTTGGACTTCCCACAGGGCAGGGAACCCTGATTGCTCTTTGGGCTGACGAGGGAGGGGTACTTGATTGGGGGAGGAGGGGAAATGGGAGGCGGTGGCAGGGAGGAGGCAGAAATCTTAAATAAATAAATGAAAGGCCAAAAAAAAAATATGAGAATTAGCCGATAAGAGGCTAGAGCTAATGGGCCAAGCAGTGTTTAAAAGAATACAATTGGTGTGTTGTTATTTTGAGTGTAAAGCTAGCAGTGCAGGAGCTGGGCAGGATGAAAAGCAGGCCTGCTCGCCTCCTCACTACAGGTTCTACTGTGTAAGAGCCCTCTTACAGGAAGGGGTGGGGCCTGGTTCTCCCTGTCTGCTTATGCTGATCTAGAGACTGCTTGAAGAGTGTGTTCATCCTCCATAAGGGGGTAGAGAAAGCCTTGTGGGATCTGCAGGCCCACTTGGCTGTTTCTGAGTTGACAGCTGGTCTTGTGTGGAGCCAGATGAAGCCTCCTGCCCTCACTTGACAGTGGCTTCATGTCACACTGATGCTCTTCTCTCGCTTGCGCTGGGCCCCTGATTGTCCCCGTGTGCAGAGCAGTGTTGGGCACCGTCTTCCCTGGCCAGAAACTAAACGCTACCTAATTGGGACTCTGGGACTCGAATGAGCAGAGACAATACCATTAAGACTGCTGGATTTTGACCAAGGTGCCAACAGAGACCTTGAGTCGACAGAAGGCTCAGTTGGTTCCATGCTGGGTGAGGCTGGGGTACAGCCAAGCTTTGGGGAACAAACATCTGAGCCTTCAGATTCCAGAGGTACAGTATGTATGACCATTGGAAACCCAGTGGCTAAGTATGACAGCAGATGACAGGGAGGAAACTTGGCACAGGTCGGGTGAGGCTTGAAGAGTAGAGAATAATTGCTATGGACAGAACTTCCCGAATTGTGTGCGTGGAGTGCAAGCTTGCAGTGTGCGTGTGTCTGCTTGTGTTGGGAGGTCAGAGGATAACCTCGGGTGGTGTTGATCCACATGTGACATCCGCTTTGCTTTTTCAGATGGTCTCTCACTGGCCTGCCATTGACTAGGCTAGGCGGGCTGCCTAGTGAACTCTGGGGGCTCTTCCTGTCTCTTCCTCCCCAGTTCTGAGATGACAAGCACAGACTGCTATGCCTGGCTTTTGAAGTGGGTCTGGAGATGGAACTCGGGCCCAAGCACTTGACACACTGAGCCAGGTCTCTAGCACTGGGCAGATTTTTTTTTTTTTTTTTTTTTTTTGCTGGAACGCATGGACAGGTTATGAAGATATTTCATCTTACTAATTTTTCTCTGCCCTCGGACAGCAGAATCAGCTTGAATGCAGAGTTTGAACAACATCTGGGTGCATGGCAGCGATCTGCCCACAGGAGTGAAACTGGGGGTACCCGATGGTCACCGCCGCAGGCTGTCAAGAGTCTGCCTTGCTTCTTTCTACTCTGTTTTCTGAGCTTGGGACTTAGTTCTCATGATCACTGGATGGCAGATGTATCTCACAGCGTCATGCCTGCTCTCTGAGGAGTCAGAGTGGGCTGAGGGGAGAACAGGCATGCTTGAACAAGTGTTCTCTTCTTCTTAGGTTAGTAATAGTTCACCTAATGGCTCATTTGGAACACTTAACTTTAATCTCTTGGTAAGAGCTAGGTCTCAGGAACTTACTGAATGGCTAGGGAGAGAGGCCCTTTCCTGTGAGTCAGCTGCGTTAGCTGATTTCTCCAGTAAGCGGGGAAAGAGAACTGACAATCAATAAGCACAGGTTGCCTACCACAGTGACTAGGCTGAGCCATGGCAAATGGCAGCTCTGTAGATACATCGTGTCTGGGTGCTGTGATGAACCAAGGATACGGCTAGGTATGTGCTTGGCAGGCACTGAGCCACAACAGACTGAGAAACCAGCAGAATTGTGTCTCA